GCTCATAAATTATACAACATCGTCATCACATAAAACACTTGTGCTTTCTAAAACAAGGTATTATATCAAGAATATCATAAGACCAAGTTCGAAATCATATAAGTAGAATATGATTTAGAAAGCAAAGCCCACTCAGAGATACACCGTATGATCATAAATGCCTTGTCATGCACGCTCTTTGTAATACATGGGATATTACTCTATTCTAAAATTGGGGAGGGGGTGACTGTAGCCTAGCTTCAGTGAATCTGAAATTGGGGGATTTCAATTTATTTACGGGATTGCCACTTCTTTTTCCAATTTTTTTTGGGCCTGGGGGTCTGGGTTAGGCCCTCCCGGCCATGTTTGTTTGTATTGTTTATTTGGGTTGTTAAATAGTGGGCCGTGTGAAAATGACTTTAACACCTATTTTTGCGATCCAAAGGCCGAAAATATAAGTTCGATGGGCATTATTGTCATTTTAGGTTTGGGACTGGGTGGGGTTGCTATCGATGGAATTGGAGGGAGTGTCACGGAGAGAAGAAGAGGAGGGATGAATCCATGGAATTCCGGGATTAGACTGGATTCGGCGAGGAAATTACAGAGAGAGAAAGAGCAAGGCAGGGATGGGGGCATTTGACGGATGATTGCTCTACTTATGCTGGTTATCACTCGATTTTGCTACGTACACTCATTGTCTTTCCACTGATGGTAGAGAGAACCAGAGAAACATGAAGGTCAGTGCAGCGGCAGCTACCGCGGCTGCTTCCAAGTCCGTCAAGAACACGGAGTTGAAATGGGTAAGCAGCAGATGCAAAACCCAGATGGAAAAACCCGTAAAACACCATATGATCTCCACTATCCCCTCTTAAACTTCCATGGTAGTACGATTTGGTCTTCACTAGCAACCTGTTTTGCGATATGCAATCTAATGTTCCATGGTAGTACGATTTGATCTTCACTATCCCCTCTTAAACTTCCATCACCATTGAGAACTCCTTTTGCTGCATTTGCATGCACCATAACTGGTGCAGGGAGCTCTAAGCAGCAGCCCAAAAGTTTTAAAATATTCTCGTGGTTGCTCATCTGTATGGAAATGGCAATGTCACGAATAGCCCGAGACCTAGGTATATCGTCATGGATGCCGATGATGTACTTTGCGATGATAATTGATCGGCCATCTAGAAATCCCCTCAACATTTTGTAGTGTGATTCCTCTCGTACAATGCGAGTAGGATGGAAGCTGGTGGTTGCCCTCACGATGTCATCAGACAAAGCAATGAGATCCTCTAATAATTTGCTTAGATTCTTCTAGTACGGTGACTCTGTCCCTTCTTTCTCAAAAATGGCAGCTTTGAGAATCTGGTAAAAATATATATGCGTATGTAACCCACAAATAATTAGTGAAACTATACATCTCTCTTATTGGCCAAAAACGAAAAATAAATTTTGAGATGTAAAAATCTCTCCTAATTCTCTGGTGCCATGAAAAGCTTATGGATAGAACGTTTACTCGCAAAATTAGCTAAACAACAACAATGGATGAGAGATTTTTCTTTTTCCAGTTATGTGTTACTAAATACTAATGGAAGTATTCTTGTTCAACACATGAAAAATTTGATTAAGTTCAAGACCTTAAATAATGGTTGAACGCAAAGACACAGACTTTTTCTTTTCTTTTTCAGCCAGGAAAGAAAAAGACAATCAGTCACTTATAAGGAAAGAAAAAAAAAAAATAGAAAGAAGGAACTAGAAAATTAGAATGTATAATCACACCTTTGATTCGAAGGAACTAGAAAGTGAGTTCCGTATACCATATTCTCCCCCTTCACACCCTTGGTTATTTTTAGCCTTTGGGCTAAATAAATCAAAGGGGAATTAAGGAAAATAAATAAATAAAGATATGTAGAAGGAGAAAATAAGTGTGCCGAAATGAGTTCCGATTGTTAAAAACCTAGCTTTTCACCCCTTTTTAGGATCCAACCATGACAATCGCATAAAAACTACTACATTGCATTACCACTATCCAGACTTTACCAGTTAGACTTCTCGATTTAGAGGAGTTCTTTAGCCACATCTATCTTATCTGGCATTCGTTCACTTTTATCTTGGGTGCAAACCAATTCTAATGCTAGAAAATCGTGCAAGTGTTGTTGTACTTGTGCATCTCCCGTTATCTCCCCAAATATTTTAGGGTCCACAATTGTCTAAATCTACCCGATAACACTAGCATGTACTTTCACATATGCAATAATCGATTGGTATTCTCCTGCGTCATATTTATCTACAGCTTTTTGTCCCGTCAAGAATGCAAGTAAATGCACACCAAAGCTACAGACATGTGTCCATTCTACAACTAAGAAAAATTCTGCGGATAAAAGTTATAGAACTCACACTTCTACTCTTGATCTAACTCCCTTCATTATTAATTTATCTGATTGGCCTATACGTGCTGAATCTTACTAATTGATTTCCATGATATTGCTTATATAAATGAAATTCTGTAGGGTCTCTTATATTTGTTTCTCCTAAAATATTCGATACATTCCATTCTATTTCTTCTAGTTTCAACATCTTGGTCTTCTTGGCTTTGAGTACTGAATTACCTTTACTTTCAAATATATCTAGATTCTTATTCAAATCTAGTCTAGTTTTAATATTGCTATTAACTTGTAATTTTCCTATAAGTTGTCCTTAGTTTCTATCATATCGTATCTTACAGATTTGAACGAAATTTGAATATATTTGTAAAAGTCTTTGAATGGAAGCATAAATTCTGGTTGACAATAGACTACTCTAGCATTTTCTGACATATCAATTTCATCATCTTGATTGTGGCTGCGTCTAGTTGTCTGTATCTTGCATCTAAAATGCTTATTAAAACCTTCACCCTTGATTGCGGTCTGGTTAAACTTTTGACTCCTACTACTATTGTTCCAAGATATAAAATTATATTTTCTATCTATTTTGTCCTAAGATTCTTTGGTTACTAAACTAATTCTACTGACATCCTTTTTGTCTACTACTCTTATTATCTGTTCTTGATAATGAACTAAACCATTGTCCCATTTTATATAAATTTTTAGGGTTCAAGAGATGTAAAGTGTTATTTCTAAAAACTTCTGCTTCTCTTTCGGTATCTATTTCTTCTTCTGTTCTTACAAGTTCTTTCCATTTGTTATTGTTTTGAAAAGCACCTGTAAAATAATAACACTTAAGATTAAGGTCAAAAGTCTCACGCATCCACGATGAATGAAGGAGGAGGGTTGTCCGAAGAATCTCCGATGCCAAAGTTAGAATTATGAAAAGAACGTAATAGGAGTTTGTGCATAGTAAATAGCTTAGCATTTTAGTGGGATAAGTGGTGTATTTATAGGAGAGTGGCTGGCCCTTAGGGTGAGGAGTGACCGGCCATAGATGGTGGTAATTGGAGAATAATTGTAAGATATTATGTGAAATAATATCTTACAATTAACATGGCAATTATTCCTAAATTAAATATGAAGTTTTGGGAGTTACCTTTTGAATAAAATAAATAAGAAATTGATGAGGAGTGATGAGAGAGATTTTAATAAATACCATATTGATCACATTTGACTCTTCCTTGATTGAGCCGTTATTGTCCGTTGCATATGTGTGGGAATCCTGGTATGCCTCAAAGGTAATTTTGTCATTTTAACCCAAAAGTCGATGTGTCACCTCCATACTTTTTTGCTCCACATGAATCCTTTCGTACAACGCGAGAAGAATGGATGTTGTTGGTTGCCGTGATGAGGTCATCAGCAGAGTAACAATGAATAGTATGAGATTCTCCATCACTAGAAGTAAAGAGATCCTCTAATAACTTTTTTTATGTTCTTGTAGTTTGACGACTCCATAGCTCTTTCGGCCTTTCTCAAGCATGGAAGCTTTAAGAACCTAGTACAAAAATAGTTAACGAATTAATATACAATTTCAGGTTTAAAATTAAACTTATGAGCGTGAAAACTATAACTTACAATTGCAACAGTTTTGATGGCATTGTTTTATATCAACTGATTCTTGTTTAGCACCAAAAGCCTTTTAGGATTAGAATTAGATCACACCAAGCCTAAAGAAATTTACATGAAACTATTTTTGTTTTTTCATTATTAGAGACAAAGCAAAAGACAAATAACCTGTCAACCATAAAGACAGTAGAAAGTCATGAAGAATTAATATATTCTAACCCACCTCCCTATTCACAAATCTTCTGCTACATATCAGCAAAACCCCACAACGTACTTTTCATTCAAGAAGCAGATGTGATTGGGAGTTTCATTGAATTCTCAAATGAATTACAAGATCGCAAACACTTACAAAGTTTCAATAACAGCCTTAAATATAAAGAACGAGAGAGAGCTATAACATTGACTTTGCAATTGTATAGGAGGAACTATTATAGAGAAAGAGAAGTTGCTATGCTTTAGGAACAAAGTCATGGCCCAAGAAAATACAACTAGGTGTTAGATCTCTCTGCATGATGTGCTTATGAAGGGTGGAATTGGAGATATGCAAATACATTCACAAGTCGCTTTGCAATACACAATTTAGTTCTCCATGGTAATAAGGATTGATCTTAATTTGTCATTGTCGAAAGGAAAATGCAACATCAAGATATTCTAAAGAGTAGTGAGCAACATGGAAATTGAACTTGCCTTGAAATTGTTGAGCACAAAGATATACACACTAATGCAAATATGTAGCTATAGGTTCACTATCTCTCTGCTAAACAAACAGATAAGGATTGACCTAGTTCTGCACCATGTTTCAAAATCACATGTCAGATCGTGCAAAAGATCGACCTTCAAGAATGCCAGTGCTAAGAGTATTGTATAATGTTCGGAAATGTAATTTCCACAGGATATTCCTGATTAATGTATTTGATTTTTAACACGTTGTTCTCTTCTTCTTCTTCTTTTTTATTTTTTTTTCTCATTAATTAGGTTACAATCAATGTTTGGATAGAGAGAGAAAAGGAAACATCAGAAACTCCTTACAAATAATGATCAAAACGGGAAAATGCAATTTATAAGTACACAAGAAATCCAAAGAGATCTACTCTGAGCTATCATATTTGTTACAAATTAACAGAAAAATGAAAATAACAGCAACACATTAACAACCAACACCATACAAAGGTTAGTGAGTTCAACATTCAGGACACTGATCATCTTCCAACCACTAGTCATATCTTGTCAATTCGAACGAGTTCTCTAGCCACATCTGTCATATATGGCCTTCTTTCAATTTCGTCTTGAGTGCATGACAATGCCAGTTGTAGGAAATCTTGCAACTGCTGCTGCACTTTCTCATCTCCCCTTACAACCTCATTGATTTTAGGGTCCACAATTGTCTGAATCTGCCCGATTTCACTAACATGTTGTTTCACATATGCAATAATCGATTGGTATTCTATTGCGTCATATTTATCTACGACTTTTGGTCCTGTTAAGAATACAAGTAAATGCACACCAAAGCTATAAACATCACTTTTTTCTCTAATGTAACCAGACTTCATGTAAGAAGGATCAAGGTACCCAAATGTCCCTTTCAGATCATCTTCAACATGAGACTGCATAGGAGGAATGGAAATGGAGAGTGAGAAGTTGGTGAGTTTGGGAACATAATCATGGCCCAAGAAAATACAGCTGGGTTTTAAATCCCGATGAATGATTGGCCTGGGAAAGGCAGTATGGAGATATGTAAGTGCATTAGCAAGCTGCTTTGCAATACGCAGTCTAGTTTTCCATGGTAATGAGGAGTAATTTTCATTACCCCCTAGACCTCCGTGATCGTTGAGAACTCCTTCCATCGCATACTCATGAACAAGAGCTGGTACAGAAATCTCCAAGCAGCAGCCCAAAAGTTTCAAAACATTTTTATGGTTGCTCATCTGTATTGATATAATAATGTCTCGAATGGCCATGGACTTAGCTTCATCCCCCGTCCCCATGAACTTCTTAACAATGATTGATCGGTCATGTAGAAAACCCCTGAACATTTTGTAACCACCATAAACATGTATAGAACTGGGGAATTGACTATTTTCAGTGGGTGAACAATCTTGCATAATGCAAGAAGGATCAAAGTTGTTGGTTGCCCTCGTGAGCTCATCAGCAGAATAACAACGAATAGGATTTGATTTTCCATCACAAGAAGCAATGAGATCCTCCAATAAGATGCTTCCATTTTCCAAGAATGATCTCTGTCTTTCCTCCTTTCTGAAACATGTAAGCAATGGGAAGAACTTGATTAACACACACACACACACACCCTCCCCCCTCCCCCCGCGCATACGCAGAATAAAAGCACGCACCAAGATATGACAGAAGACCTTCCATATAACTTGAATTGTGCATTTTCCTTTCATTTTTTGCTTATGAACTTCACATGAAAGTCTAACAGATTACATATAAGCATTCTTATATGTTCGAAACTGAAAAATATAACGGTTGGTTTTCTTTCTCCTATTGTAACACAAAATTACTAAGGCAAGAATCTGGCCTCCTTTAAAGGATTTCTGTCCTTACAAATGAACTTTGGGGTTCAGCCTCACGAAAATTCAGATTCAGCCTCTGCTGAAAATCTTTGAGATTGATGATCAAAATTTAACATAATGGTTTCGAAAACAAGTGCGAAAATAGTTATAGGAATATCTCAAAATCAGGTCTAAATCAAACAAAGGCATATATGCGTGATTAAAACAAGAACTTACATGACTTTGGATGGCATTTTTTTCACTTTTTTCTTTTCTGGCTAGCACCGAGTCCCTGTGTTGATTTATCCGCCGAAGCCCACTGCAGATCTAATGTTCAAACAGCAGTTTGTTCTGTAATTTTCATTCTCTTATAGAAAGCCTGCATTTGAGAAGGAATAAAAGTTTGAAATTTGTTGGCGTGTGCTGGAAGGTGTAACATGCGCCCTCCAATGTTGACTTGGAATAGCTTTCAACCAAAAGGAAAAGTTATCTTCCTTTTCATACGTTCATTTTTTTTCTTCTTACCTTTTCCAGGGCTGGCCCCATTCCGGAGGGCCTCCATTTTAAATATATATAAATTTTGTAGGATTAAGTACTTAAAACTCCCGTTATTCAGTACTACAATCTGGTAATATTTCTCTTCAATTGAAAATGAGAGGTCTTAGGTTCGAATATCATAGATGGCGAATTCAATACCCAATTAGGCTTCTCATTGTGTGACTTTGCCAAACTCCCCCTCCCTTTAGTGTGAAAATATCGATGTACTACAAAAAAAGTACCTAAAAAACTCCCAAATTTTTTAGTGCCATTTCAAATTGATCTCAATCTTAGTAAACATTCTAAACAAGTACCCAACCTATTAAGAATGTCACATCGTTAAGCCCCAATTAAATTTATGTTAACATAATAAAGGTTTACTTTGTCTCCAAATTAATAGAAGGTCATAGAAGCTTGGCCTCCACAAACTAACGGTCATTAACCCCCATCAGGCCATCATCTCTAAACCTAACGCACAACCACCAACTCCACCTTACAACTCAAGCCAACTCCAAACACGAGAAAAAAAAAATATGCTATAGTGGCTGGAAGAAAGGTAACCACTTCACATTATTAGCCCCACATCACATAGAACCTCAACATGTTATCAAAGAGGCAAATTTGGTGGCAGATGCACTTGCTGACTCATGGCTTAAAATAGGTTTCAAGTATTGGAAATAGAACCATATTCAATCTTGTAGGTGGCGCCCACTATTCGATGCCACATGTACATTTAATCGAAAAATTAACTGCTGCTTAATGAATGTGACATTTTCAATAGGTTAAGTACTTGTTTGGAAAGTTTCAAAAGATTGAGACCAATTTAAAATGACACTAAAAGGTTGATGAGTTTTTGGTACTTACTCCAATATTTTACACTTTAAATTTAATAAAAATATTAAAAAATAAAATCAAAGGCAATAATATAACTTTCAACAAAAAAATTTTTACTGTTTTTTTTTTCTTTTCCCTCACCCACATGTAACTACAATTTTACTTTATCAAATTTAATTAAAATTTAAAAATAAAAATGTCAGTTATTTTTCTCCCGATGCAACCCCACCTGCTTTCTTTCTTTGTTTTCACAAAATTGTTGCTCTTTTTCTCAATCTTCACAAAAATTTCGATTTCAGTCGCTCTTTCATTTTCACAAAGAGTAATGCTAAGGAGACTCAAATTGCAAATTAAATGATATGTTACTAATAGAAATGAGCACGTCTATCAACGTTTAAGTAATAAACCAATCATTAACTTACATGTCCTTTAATTTCCAAAATTTAGTTTCCAACTTTAGTTTTCCTAGCATTACTCGTTCACAAAACTATCGCTCTTCAGCCCTTCTCTCATGGGAAATAATAGTGGGGTTCTTCTTGGGTAATTCAGATTTCAGCATGGTGTCTTCCTCCATGTTTTTAGAGTCCGCCTCTTGAGCACCAATTAGAAGCATGCAATAGCTCCTAGCTTCAATTGAGGTTGACCTGTGGAGAAGCAACAAGAACTTATACGCAGCGTCTATGGAGGCTCTCTCTCTACTGTGATTATGTTTTATTTACTGCATAAATCAATGTGGATGTTAGCTTGACAATCAATTTTTTGTGATTTTTTTATTCTCAAATTAGGTTTTCATGTTGATTTTTCCTTTCCTTTTCCACAGTTTTTGTTAACCATATTAGTTATAATTGCCTTGTAGAAAGAAGTTTTTCAAAATTAAAATTGATGAAACCTTATATGTGATCACCATGTCACACGAAAGATTGAATGAGTTAGCTATTTTTCAATCATTATATAAACTTAGGTAGTACATTTGCGTCAAAAAACACGAGACGTGGAACATTTAAATAATGTTTGTGTATTTTTCTTCTTTTGATACTATTTTTTAATGATATTTGATGTAGAAATAAATTTTTTCATATATTTAGTGAATTCTCTTATATATTTATCAATGTACAAAAAATCAGAGGTTAAAGAACACTAGGGCCCAACTTCGAAGCCTGCCTAGGCCCCAAATTCTCAGGCCGGCCCTGCCTCTCCTTTGACTTGCAAAAGAAAATGCAGTACGAAGATATCCTCACACATAAAGAGCAAAATCAAAAGACAACTGCCTTGAATTTTGTTGAGCATACAAAAGATCTACACAAAGCAAAGTAGGTAGCTACAAGTTCACTAGAAGAACCTACTAATTACATGCTAAAATACCCTTTCTCCCTTTCCATGATCAAACCATACACAAAAAACTACCATTTTCCATTGGCACTACCCAAAATACAAGGAAGTTTTGCCATTGTGACATTACCGCAAACACCTACCATGCAAAAAACAAAAACCCACAAAATCATTCATCTCCTTCTCCACCAGATTCACCACCACTACCATCATCCTCAAAAGCATTTCCATCACCTTCATAGCCACTTCCCAAATCACAAATCTTCATCCAAACATCCTCCGAAACCGGCACCACCGAAAGCCTCGGTTGCCGAAACAGAGCAAACCCCTTGAGCCCCTGATCCCTCTTCATCTCCTTCAAGTCCACCGGCCTCCTCATCTCCCCAACCGCCTTCACATCAACCACCGCATCATCCCCGCCTTCCGAATACCATTCCCGCAAGACGCTCACTACACCAACCACGCGGCGGGCCTTGGTGCCGGAGTGGTAGAAGAAGCAGAGGTCGCTGAGCTTCATGGACTTGAGGTACTTCTGGGCTTGCTTGTTCTTGACGCCGTCCCACTTGGTTACGCCGCCGTTGGCCGCTTGGTCCTCCCACGACCACTCACCCGGCTCCGTCTTGAGAAGCCAGTACTGTTTCTCTGCGGCCATCGATGGTGTTGGGGTTTTCTCGTCAGATTTGTTGCTGATTTTCTGTTCAGGAATACAAAGGGTTTTTATGATGGGTTTTGGGTTTTTTTGGCGGGGAAGATGTGTGCTTTGGCGCCAAGCAATAGTTGTAAAGTGGAATAGAACATGTGTCATCTGAAGACTCTCAACTACCATCTGGTCTTTCACATCGTAAAAAGTAATTCTTACATGTTCTATAATGTCATGAAATTATTTAATATTTTAAAATTTAAAACTTTTGGATTTTGTTCGTCATTCAATTCAACGGTAAAAAATTTGAGTGTACAATGTATCTGTAAAAATACTAAGTGCATTAGAGTTGCATGTTGTGATCATGTAAAATTATTATTAATTTAAGGCCTTAAGCAGTTGTTTAATTCACATCAACTCTGTTCTACTAATCTCTAGTGATTAAAATTATAAAAGCCAAAAAGGCATGTGTGACAGCCCGTCCCAAAATTCATATTAACGTACGTGTAAAATTACAACTTTGCCCCTAATTCGTTTCGTTATGTTTTTGGTTGCTTGGTGTGGTGTTGGCAGGTGCTGGGCCACACACACACACTCTCACTGTCTCTATCCCTTTCTCTGTCTCTTTCCCTGTCTCTCTCTCTCTCCCGAGCTCCCTTCCTTCTTCTTCTTCCTTCGAACTCGTACAGACACACACACAACTACACTAAATCATCACAGATCGAAGAAACTAAGGGCACAGTCGAGATCGTGAGGTCGAGGGGAGCACGATCATACCATTTTCAGGTAAGAAATCCGTCGTTTTCACGTCGATTTGACAATGGCAGATTTGTGTACTGTTCATGCAAGCATTGATCTAGCACGTTTTTGGAATTTTGAAGTTCATAGATGTCTTAGTGAGGTTCCCAGGAGTCTCGGAGTGCTTCGTTGGACGAAATTGGACGTCGGAATCGCCTGGTTCGAGCTTGACCGGTTTTGGAGGTTGGTGACAGGTGAGTTTTCGTAGGTTTTAGCCCTTAAAACTTGTATGGACGTGTTCTACTAGTTTAGGGCTTCATTTTGGTGTTAGAATCGTGAAAAATGGTTGAGAATCGAGTGAGAAAACACGGTTTACAGGTTTTCCAGTTTTCCGGCGCCGGCGACGGCACCGGAGACTGAACGGGGAAAAAGACGGAATATTCCGTCCGTGTGCACCGCACGTGCCTGCGCGTGGCCGGCGCGTGTGGCCGTGCCTTGGCCGGCGCGTGCGGCGGTGGAAAATTTTTCTAAAATTATGGTTGTGATCCTGAGGTTGTGTAGAGCATGTTGGTATATTCAATTGTCCATTTTGAGCAATGTATGAGAAGTTATTTTGAACGGAAGGTTATGTGCTTTAAAATTAACGTTTTTATAGTATTTTCGCATATAGGTGATACGTATCCCGAGGACGAGCGTGCTCACTCGAGGCAGGGGGGCTACGACCCTTCCACATACCAGTGAGTGGGCTTTTGGTTTTTCGTATATACCTATATACATTTATTTTCCCAGAAATTGTTTAAAAAGGGTTATTTGTTTCATGCCATGCACTATATTATTATCGTTTATGTATCATTGCATGCATTAGTAGTGACATACATATACATATGCATATTTGGTGCTGTGGACGCACAGGTAAGTGTCAGGTAAGTGGTATTCATGTTTATATATTCAGTAGTGGTTTGAGATGCTTAGAGAGCTCATAACCTGCACCTCCGGTGTTAGTGCTCCCGCCCAGAGTAGGGCACAATCCTTCACGTGTCGTTCACCTCCCGCACCACACGCTCATCTTGGATCCAAGTTAGGTGCACAGTCCTGTCGTACAGATCACTATAGGTGGTTCCGACTCGTAGGTGACCCGCGATTATTCGCACAGCCTTCACGTGATCGTAGCACTAGAGCGTTTATATGTATTACACCCAGGCCTGTCGTACAGACCACTATAGGTGGTTCCGACTCGTGGGCAGGTTTAGTGATTGAGATTGAGATTTGAGCTCTAAATTCAGCCGCACAGGTCACTTTAGGTGACTCCAGCTGCCAGTGATATATATTATTGATAGGATTTATACCTGAGCACTTTCATTTCACCATGAGATTTTGGTATGGCATATCCTTGAGCATGATTGGCATATTTAGTGTATACGTACACATGTTTATTTTCTGGGAAGTATACAGGTTTTACGGTGAGGGGTTAGAATATATTTTATTAAATGGTTTTCAAAGAGCTTTATTTTTGCCCACTCACGCTTTTGTTTTGCGCCCCTCCAGGTTCTAGTTGCTTAGCAGGTTCGGTGGTTTCCCCAGAGGGCTTCCAGGCATTTCTAACAGACACTCACCAATGTAGGGTCACCTTCGGATGCACTGTTGTCGCATCATTTTAATTTGGACTGCTGTAGACTTATTGCTCTGAACTTAGCGTCTCACTTACGCTAGCACACTTACTTTGACCTTGTATGCTAGTTTTTAATTACTCGTACTTTTATATTATTACGCTACTAGCTTCCGCACTGTGCACATGGCTACGTCACTTCCACGTGGCGGCCAGCACGCCCTGATCTCGGTCGGGGTGTGTCACATGTGTCTTAAACGTGTCAACAATTGAACTACTTTTTATTTATTTATTTATTTATATATATATATATATTTTAATTGCTCTCCATTAGTAAGATACTAGGATGTTGAAAATGCAGTTTGAATTTACAAAGTAAAATTATTCACGATAAGAAAATTAAAATTATTATAAGCACTCTAAAATATAACAATACATGGATAATACAATCGAGGTAGGCGCGTAAGGACTTTTATTAAAATGGCAATGAGAACTTGTTAAGAAAACTTTTCAAAATAAAATTGACCCATGTCATGTAAATAAAGAGCTACAAGAAATATTAAAAGTCAGCCTCCCATTTCTGTGGGACTGATAACCAACAGATTCTCGAGACGTCTACGGATTTTTAATGCTTATTTATGGACAGTCAAACTTTAAATAACTAGCCAAAAATTCAGAAAGAAAGAAAAGTAAAATAAATGCGCAATACAAAAATTATTTCCATACTAAAACTCAAACTCGAGTATACTGTTCATAAACAGTAAAATGGCAAAAAAGCTCTCGATTTGAAAATAGTGAAAACCTCATAAAACAAACTGATTTTCTCAACCGAAGATTATGATATATGTTTCTAAGCGGTTTGCCATTGGAAAGTAAAAAACAAACTGAGCAATTATAAGATTTGACCAAGTAAATGGTTTCGCATTTGATTATTTGGGATAATTACATGTGTGAGGATTATTAAATGATATATTTGATAATTTTAAGGTAGGAGCCTTTGCATTAGAAGACAACCTGTACTCAACTTCTTAAATCTGCTCTTAGTTGATGCTTTGTCTCCGTCTTTTTTGCCTACTTTAAAATGCTTTCTTCTTATTTCTAACTTTTAATTAATTTATTTATTTTTGTTTCATTAATTTGAGTTTCACAGAATAGCTTCAATTGAGTTAGGTTTTGTTCAATTTAATCTCGATAGTTTCATTCCAATTCAATGATTTTGTGTAACGCTGAGTTTTCTGTTGGAGAATAAATTTTCTCCATAGTTCATTCAATTTTGTTTTATTTTCTAATTTGGATTTTGAAATTGAGACTCCTAGCTTTGCCCTCATCAAGAAAATTTTATTGATTCCAATTGACAAATGTTGCCAGGATGGGAAATGGATCACCAATTTGAAATCAGCTCTTCAGGTATGCATTCATTCCAGATTTAAAACATCACTTCTGTTTAGTACGTTTTTTATCATAACATCGTCATACGGTGTTACTATCCGTCCTTTTGGTTGTTAAAATCTGTTTTTTTTTTTTTTTTTAAGTTGTACATACAACTCTTAACATAGAATTAGTAAAATACAGGTGCATAATGAATGACTAATCAATGAAGGAGAAGCTTTTAATTTTTTTGGGTTCAATTTTAAATGGGTTGTTATCAACCATTGAATTGCTCTTGGAGTTTTCATTTGATAAAAGAGATGGGAGGTTCTTTTGGGTGAAACTTTTGATCGGTGAGATTTTTAGTTAGGTTGTGGGTTTTTGCAAATTTCTTCCGTGTTTATGCATGCATTTTTTGTTATTAAATTTGAAAGAAAATAGCATTACAGGGTGTTGAGGGTTTGTTGGTGGGGGAAGGCAGCAGCGTTAAGATTTTGTAGGTGAGATATTAGGGTGAAAGAAAAAGGGGATAAAGAGCATTGAGGACACATTTGGGATTAGGGGTAGCAAAACAGGGGAAAGGAATATGACAGAGGAATGGACTCTTAATTTTTTCTTAACTAGTTTGGGATTTTGCTTGCCTTTGGGGTCATCGTTGGCGTCAAGCCATTTGGTGTCAAGCGGTGTCTGTTTTTTCGTAACTTTTATTACTAATTTTTATGTCGTTTGCGATTGGGTCCTTGTAAAAACTGTATTTAGCCAGAATAATACTTTCATTGATAGAAGGTTCAATATATACAATCCCTTTCCTTGTACAACAAGAAGACCTAGAAACTAGGAATACGATAACAGAAAGTATCAATTACAAGTCAATTAAATAAAACATTCCTATCTAGTTACAATGACTTTCTAACACTCCCCCTCAAGTTGGAGAGTGGATGTCAAGAACTCCCAACTTGCCCAACATGGATGAAAATTTTTCTTTGCCTAAGGCCTTTGTAAATATGTCGGCCAATTGTTGAGAAGAACTGACATATCGAGTAGCTATAGAGCCGTCTAAAATCTTGTCCCGAACGAAATGGCAATCCATCTCTATGTGGCGTGTTCTCTCATGAAAGACAGGATTAGCAGCAATATGCAATGCTGCCTGGTTATCACAAGACATAATGGCAGGTCCTGAAATGGGTACATGCAAATCTGTTAACAAATACCGTAACCAAATGAGCTCGCAACATGTTCCAGCCATAGCCCTATATTCGGCTTCAGCACTAGAGAGTGAGACCGTTTTCTGCCTCTTAGTCCTCCACGAAATCAACGAATTCCCCAAGAATATACAATACCCAGTTGTAGAACGTCGAGTTATCGAACAACCAGCCCAATCCGAATCACAAAAGGCTCTCAAAGTTAACTTATTATCTGACTGAAAGTATAAGCCCTGACCTGGTGCAGACTTCAAATACCGCACAATTCGAAGTGCTG